AAACAACACCGAGGTTTAGAAGAAGCAGAAGACGATAATGAGGAAGATCCAATGATGTATCCAGAGATTGAGGTAGAGAGCGAACAAGAGAACAAGCAAAATCCATCCCTCGCAAAAATAAAGCATGATGGTAGGAGGCGAATCCGAGAAGATGGGCTTATGAAGATTTACATCTTTCAACTGCTGAGTAGGACTATGTTTGAAATTGGCTTCCTGATAGGCCAGTACTTACTCTATGGATTTGAAGTCAGTCCAACGTTTCTTTGTAGCAGAAATCCGTGTCCCCATACTATTGACTGTTTCATTTCAAGACCCACAGAAAAAACCATATTCCTGCTCATCATGTATGGTGTGAGTGGTCTGTGTTTACTTCTGAACATCTGGGAAATGCTTCACTTGGGATTTGGCACCATTCGGGACACATTGAATAGCAAGCGAAAGGAGCTAGAAGATTCAGGAACTTACCATTATCCTTTTATTTGGAATACCCCATCAGCTCCTCCAGGGTACAATATTGCAATGAAACCTGATCAGATACAGTACACAGAGTTGTCTAATGCCAAAATAGCACATAAACAGAATAAAGCCAATATTGCCCAAGAACAACAATATGGCAGCAATGAGGAGAACATTCCCACTGAACTGGAGAACATTCAGCGAGAAATCAAAGTAGCTCAGGAACGCTTAGATCTTGCCATCCATGCATACAATAATCAGAATAATCCATCCTGTTCCAAGGAAAAGAAGCCCAGAGGCAGCTCAAACAAAAGCAGTGGCAGTAGTAAATCAGGGGATGGGAAAACTTCTGTTTGGATTTGATGCTCTTCACTTAAGAGGGAATGCATACCTTTTTCTCATAGCGTATTATATCTAGCAAACTGGGTGCAAAATAATTTCCAGTAGAAAAATAATTGGCCTTAGTAAAATTCAGAGATATTCCGTGCTGCTAAATGCTATTGTGCAAAAGAACAGAAGAGAAAAGTAGTTATGCTCACATTCTGATGTTTCCAAAACTTGCATTCATGTTTCTTCCAGATCTGCAGAAATCCCAGGGATTTTTTCAATTATTTTTGTTAAAACAGTTTATACTGTATGTACAGTATTATGGTACCTTTTATTATGCACATTTTTGTATTTGTACATTGGATATCTCAATTACACATTTTATATTAAAAATAATCAAATAGGAATTTTCAACATTCTTCTGAAGCTTTCCTCAATTTCATAGAGATGACTGGTGTTACTTTGAATTTTATAAAGGTTTGAATTATGGAGCAGATAATTCTGGATGACTCATGAACAGATATAACCCCTTTTGCATTCTTGTCCCAGCCAAATAAATTAAACTTTAGGTTAGTGAAATATGTCTTCAGGTGTAGTCAGATATTTTTTTTCCTATAGTGAATATCCTTGAATCTGAGTGAACAAAAAAAGTGAATTTCAGACTGGTTGCTTCTGGCACATAACTTTGCATTCAGTTTATGAAAGTCTTTCAAGAAAAAAGTGCCTGGAGTTGATATTTTGTGAATTAAAAAAAGTAAGAGTTCAACCACTCTAAAAATAAAACTAAAATAAATAAACTAACTGATGGTTAATTTAAAACATATATTTGATACTGCACAATTTGGACAGCAATTAGATATCCTTCAGATAATTTATACTGCAGCTCCCATATTACTGACTTACATTGGAATTATAGTCCAAAAATCTAAATGGTACTAGGTTGCCTATCTCTGATTTAGGAATGATTTAATCACCTCTTGAGCTTGGAAACAATTTAAAGTTTGGAGAAAAGTTAAGCAAGTTAAACTATTGTTGAGCCAAAGAAAGGTCTGCTTTCTTGAAACTTGAAGCAGTACTCAAATGGTAGGGAAAAACATCTCGATTTAAGGGAAATATAAACAGAATTAAAAAATATTTGCCTTTATTTTGAAGTGGGAAATGTTACTTTAAAAGCATGTGATGTGTAACATGGTTCTTCAGGAAGTTCTTTATTGTGAGACGTAGTGAGGGATTGTGAATTTGAAGTGATGGAAAAATTTGTACTTTGAAAAATCTGTTTATTTTAGCAGTGTCCAAGGTCAGTCTTCCTCCTTGGTCTTTTAAATTCCTGTCCTGCTATTTATGTATTGCATACAAAAAGCAGCAGGAAACTACTTGGGAGCAGTATATTCTAGTCAGCCTTGTGAAACTGCAGGCTGTTCTAATTAATTACATAGATTCTTTGAAGGAGAGTTTCAGCTCCATACAGCAAGCTGGAAGTCTTAACTTCTTTCCTAATGAGAACAAAATAGTTATTGGCTTTTGGAGTTTGCCCATTATTTGGTTCATAAATTGAGTGTATTTGAACTGCTGTGGTTTTATTTGCAAAATTTGGTAAGTGATAGAGTTGGATTTAATGCAATATGTGCTCGTTAGAAAATGGCTTTGTGTATTTTACTGCATTCAAGATACAGTAAAGTCTGAATTAAAAACAATGGGTAGCAATGACAGTACCCCAAGTGCTTGTCATTTTTCCTACTGTTGTGATACAATCACTGAATAAACTGGCTTTGCAGAACCTATACAGAAATCTAACAGCTATTTAAGTGGAAAATGGGGCTGTGTCCAAATTTAGATGCATTCAACCCATTTTTGGTAGCAAATGGAGCTGCTTGAAATAGGTATTGGTTGGAGATACTTAACAAGCAGGGTAGGCAAGGTAAAGGACGGGTTCTTCCAAAATTGGACAGAGGCATTTTTTGTGTGCGATGTTCAAATTATACAGGTTACATCTGATTGACACACAAAGCCTGTCTCATTTAGCAGAATCTCCAGTTTTTCATGCAATATTTTAAAAGGCCTAGATCAGGGGTCGGCAACCTTAAACACTCAAAGAGCTACTTGGACCCGTTTCCCACAGAAAACACTGGGAGCCGCAAAACCCGCGCCTACACGCGCGCCGGAAAGGGGGCTTGATTGAAAAGTTTAATTAAAAGAAATAGCGGCTGCTGTGCATGAGTTCTCTCTCTCTCTCTCCCTTTCCTCTTCCTCTCTCCCCCCTTTCTCTCTCTTCTCCCCCCCCCTCCGAGCTGGGTTCACGCAGTTCTCGAACAAGCTGACACACATTCTTATTGGGCTGGGTCTCTCCTGCCCTTGGTCTGCCACTCCTCTTTCCCCACTGTGTATATGTGTGTGTGTGTGTGAGAGAGAGAGAGAGAGAAGCGCAAGTGCCTATCTCTGTCTCTGCAAATGGCGGAGGAGGCTGGGAGCCACAGGAGAAGGCTCAAAGAGTCACATGGATCCGGAGCCGCGGATTGCCAACCCGTGGCCTAAATACAAATGCACATCTATCTGCTGCTGTGTCTAAAAACCTGAAAAATTGCATTGAGAAATATGATAGTTTTGAATAAGAACAGTCATGCTTCTGCTATTGAAAAATCTATCTGAAAAATTATTTAAGGAAATATTTAAAGATTTCTTTAATGTTGGTATTTCGCAGAGGCCATTCTGATTGAATGATGTAAATTTCCCCCAAGCTGCTTTTCTTATTACACCAAGAAATTTGGCGGCTAGGTGCATGTTTAGTTTTTGTTTTACTGAAAAAAAAAATCAGCCAAAATTTAATATTCATCTTTAAATGCACAAGACTGGGTGTAAAGATAGTGAACTGATAGGCTGATACTTTGAGAGCATCTGGCTTCTTCTAGAAGTAGCATAATAGCTATGAAGTTTTCCTAAAAGAGAATCTTTGATGGATGAGTAGCTTATAAAAAAGATTATCTTAAATATACATCATTGCTTTGCCATTCTAGGACTCCCACACCGGAAAAATATTGTACCAAATTTTGCAATTTTTAACAGATACTTTGGATGCAGGATGTAGAAATACTGTACCAGCACGAAATACTCACCTATTCAAGGACTATTTCAATACAAAACTACACTCAGTGAGAAGCTGAAAAATTTTACCAAGTAAATATTTTCTAGAACCTTTAATCATCACTGAATTGAATTTAATCAAATAACATATAGTCAAATATTGGGATGGTGCTATAAATAGAAAGACGAGAAATTAGCTCATGAGCTTTAGTCTGAGGTTTGTCTTGAATAAAATACAGCCTGTGTTGGATACAAGAAGTCTACTAACAGTTGCACCCATATGTTCCTTCTTGCACTGAAAGATGGGTGGCACACCTACATGACCTTGCATCTAGGACATGAAAGATCATATGGTAATAATCAAATGTATAACAGTAGCTGTTTGCATGACTGCAGATCCCAATATTGCCTTTCAAATGTAGAAGATAATGTTACTTCTTAATTTTCTGCTTGGATAAAATAGCAGCTAAATTTTAATTTATCTCAGAGCCTTTTTAAACAAGCAAAGTGGGTGGATTGAGTCACATGCCAGTTCAACCCCCATGTCCAAGTAATAAAATCAAGGTTTTCCCATTACTATTTTCAGTGACAGCCTTGGGTAGAATGAATGTTAGAAAGTAACTCAACCAATATGGTTGTTAGACTTGCCTTTATTTAATTCACTTCTTAACTGATCCCCAACTCTCCAATAATGCATTGAAGTCCTTAAAAGTAAAGTAGAATGTTTATGTCTTCAAATTATCAGAAGTGCTGCAACAATGGATCCAATGCATTTTGACCCTATTGATGATCACATATACCATCTCCTTAGGTGTACTTTTAGGATATACCTTTTGCAATCTGCCTTTTTCACTCACAAGGGGAGGGGGAGTCAAGAAAATGTTATGTAGGAGATACCTATCCTTGTAAGGAAAGACCAAACTGTTAATCCCCAAAAGGTACTGTGTAAAAAGAAAGACTGAATTCTCTCCCCTGATCTCAAAGTCAAGTTAAAAAAAAACCCCAAAATTTTCCATTAACCTAATCCATGAGTGTATAATCATCTGAAAACCCTTTTTTGTAAGTTTCTTTATATTTCTTAGCAAGTAAAGTTAGTTATAAAAAAATATAAAACTGCACTATTACTTTGATCAAATTTTATTTGATTTTTCCATACAACATAGCATCAAGGTCTGGTAATAGAGAAAGCACCTGTCACGTGTAAGTTGAAGTTCCTCTGTTAAAAACAAAGGGAGGGAGCAGCATCAGGTTTGTTGATTCTGCATGGGAGATCACAGGACAACACACAGAGATAATCAAAGACTACCATCTTCCCTACCAATTGCTCAGGTGCCAAAATCCACGTTATCAACTGAAACGAAACAAATGCCTGTTACTTGACTCAGAAACAAGCTTACACCTCCTTGCAGAAATGCTAAGCCTTTCTAAAAATTGGAGGCTGCTTATAAATAAAGAGTAAGATCTTAAGAAGAAAGTAGAAATTGCCATTATACCTCATGAAAGGGTGGCTGGGCAGCCCTTCTTTAAGCAAAAGTGATTGAGGACACCTGCAGTGGTTCATCCAGACAATTAGCATCCCTGTATTTTGCAAACACTACCAGAAAAAGGAGACACTTTTGCTCTTCAGAAATCAGGTGATGCCATCCAGAAAATAAAGAGCAATACACTAGGCCAAGTGGAAAGAGGATGGGGTGAGGTGGGACAGGGCTGGAAGGGGCAATGTGGCAAAATCATCTGCCAATCTTACATTTTTTTCTTTTTTTGGAAAGTACATTGAAACACCCCTCTTTCAAGGTTAAGGAATGACAGAGACATTGCGCCCATGAAGTCTTCAGTCTTCACCATCTCAGGATGGTGGCTTTTTCAGATTCCAGGTTATAGCCTTCATGGCTGAACAGGACATTGAATCATGGATGGAAAGGAGGGGGGAAGTATAGAAGTAAAAGGATTGACTTAATATAAGTGAATATGGCCTATTTGACCCATAGTGGTGGCAAGGGTAGAATAGAAGGCATCCTTTAGGATTTGAATAGCAATTTGGCAAAAGCGGCCCTGGTTCATCTTACGCCTCTCTTCCTGAAACAGCTCACTGTAACCCAAGGCCTTGAGCAAATCCACCCAAAAAGGCACTTCAAAGCAGAACATGGGCTTCAATAGAATGTGGGGAGAGGGTGCCAGTGTCCCAACGGAGAGGCTTCTTTTTGTAGCACTGAAATCCAAACAGAAAACAATAGAAGCCAGAAGGACAGCAGTGGCGCCCGTCATGACAGCAGGTTCCCTATGAAATAGAAGAGGAGATAATGAAGTCCAGCAATGAAGAAACAAGAACATTGCTCAAAATCCTTACATGATTCTCAATAAATCTACAAGTTGAGGAAGAATGACCTGGAAAAATATTTAATAATTAAAGACAGAAATAGCTTTAGATTTGAATGTACAATACAGTTTGTGTGTAATACAGCAGCTTACATTATAGCACAGTTACCAAAATTAAAAATGTGCACATTTTGGGAAAAAAAATATATCCCTTGAATTTGAATATGATATATACGCACCTGCCTTATTGGTTTTATCAATGCATGTAAGTTCTGAGGAACTCAAAACATTGCATAGAAAATTAATGGTGGAATTTGATTAATTTCCTGCAAAGCTGCCTTTACATTTTGTACAATGACAAAGACAACATTGTAGTAAAATATCGGTCTTCTTACTGTGCAGAGGAACAACATACTGTACAATGCTTTACTGATTTGGGGAGATCCATCCTGTCTGCCCACCCATCCACGGCCTCCTTTGAACTATTCACCGTGACTGAATCTATAAGTCTCGGCACTAACCTTTTCATATGGGCAGCAGGCCCAGCCACCTCTCTTGGCCTTGCAGCAGGTCTGGCCCACGTGGCAATAGTGTTGTTCATCACATAAAACATCCTGACTGGATGCAGCAGTTTGCGAGGAAATCAGCAGCCCCCCTGCAGCAGCAACGGGGCCTGGCCAGTGCCGTTTCTCACAAGACTGGGCTGCCACATTGCAGGTATAGCTAGAGGGGCAGCAATGTTGGTGATCCTCACAGCAAACTGCCTGTATATAGCAAGAAAGAAGGTACTGCTTGGTTTGACATAAAAATATACTTTACGGTGGAACATTTTAAGGGAACTAAATAAAACTTATTTTATCATGGCTCCATTTTGCTTCAAAGAAACCTTTGTCCAAAAGGCAGAAACACCCCTTTATTCCTTTGTTTTCCCATTTCCATGTTAAATTTAAAATGTCTGAATTAAGATATGAATTAGAAAGAAAAAACAGAACAGCTGAAAGCTCTTAGTGGCTGACAGATGAGAGTCTCCGTGACTCTCCAGAGATAGTGCTTGTTCTGCTAACAAGGAAAGCCTTAGCTTGGCTTCCAGGCTTAATTCACAACCATAACAGGAATGTGAAAGGGCATTAGAAATTTGGGTTTCTAAGATCCAACTATCAAAATTCCATTCCATCAGCAAACTCCAATGGCTTTAGGAGTAGGGGATGGAACTTACCTTGCAAAACACATGGAGAGTATAGGTTGGGGAGGCTAAGCTCGTTGACTAATTCACCAATAAAAGACTTTCATTTCAGCCACTCATGGCAGATTTTCCAGAGTATCCATCCAATAAAATGGCCTGTTGTCAGGCTGTCCCAAATGCCCCAAAGGTAATGTATGCAAATATACTGCTCAAAAAAATTAAAGGGACGCAAACTCCTTCAGTTTCATGTTAAAATGTTCCCTTTATTTTTTTGAGCAGTATATATTCTTCCTATAAGACTCCATGGATGATTAAACCAACCATCTATCCAAGAAGGAAAATTGCCTACTCTGCCGTGAAATCCTCAATGTACCTGAAAGAGGGGGCAGCATGCCCAGCCTCCCAAACGCATGCAGCATGTTTGTCCATCTGCACAGCTAAACCGGTCATCACACTTCACATCTTTGCTTGAAGGGAGGTTTCCAACAACTGCTGTTATCTTCTCCACCCAAGGGATACGATCTCCATCTTTTAGGCAAGTGCCCGATGATGAATCACAGATGTAACCACTGGGGCAGCAGTGAATCTGATTCTGACAGCAAGTGGCCTGGCAGGAGAAAGAAAGGTCACATCAAGGGCTAAAACTCATCAGTGGCCTACTGGACCAGAAGGAATTCCTATCCTGAAGTAAAGTAGACAAACCAAAGTCCCTTAACTTCATCTTAAAACCATTTTTGATTGGAGGCCAAAACTGACGATACCCCATTTCTTGCTCTCCAACTGCAAGAGGCCAAATAATATGAAAAAGCATAAGTAAGACCTTTTTTCCCCTAGAGCCATTCCTATGAAACAAAGATTGAAGAGTCTGCAACCCATGTGAAACTGCTGGCTTGGCCTTCAGGAACTAATATCAAATTGCCAGTGTTAGAATTTTTAAAAAAGTGCTAAAATTAGTGAATTTGCTTTTGTATTAGTTCCCATTCTGCCTCCAGATCTCAAACCACATCAAACAAAGGACTACTGGTGATTTTACTGCACATCCTCAGAAAGCTTTGGTTCCCAAAATGCTAGGTTTTAAAAAGTGCTGCTCTCAGCTATGAAAAAATTGCCTGGCTTTTTAATAGACCTAGGCCTCTCAGGTGAGCAGTTGTAAAACCATAACTGGGCAGTATTGGAGTCAACAACTCTGCTGCAGTTCTGCAGAAACAAATGGTGCAGAATGTGTAAGTAAACAAAAATAAACCCCCTTCTCCTTTCCAAGACCCCCCCTCCCAAACTTTAACACAGGAACATCCTGGAAAGCCTAGCAACTGAGATGCATATAATCTAAGAAGGAATTATAATTTTGTGAACACCTGAGAGGGTCCCAGCTATGAGAAATGAGAGGTGGACCGAACTAGCAGCGGAAGCTAAGCAGAACCTGGGGAACAGCACTTACCAAGATTAGTTCCCTTTTGTTCCTCACTCATAGACTAGACTCAATTCCACCCTTTCCTTTCTTGCATCTATTTACAAAACTATGCAAATGCTAGGGAGCTCCTGACAGGAAACAAAGCAATTTCACAATTCCTCAGTTCCCCACAGTAGCATTAAATAAGCTTAGGTCTCTTCTCACCTGTGTCAACAGGCAGCATCCCCAAGCACCTGTTATAAGCTGACAACAAGTCTGGCCATCTTGGCAAGCTGTGTAGGGATCACACTGGACCATTTGGCCTATGGAAGATGCTGTAGAGCTTGAGTCAATTTTTGAGGCTGTTGTGGAGCTTGAATCTATGTTTGAGGTTGTTGTGGAGCTCGTGTCTATTTTTGACACCAAAGGAATGCTTTGGCCATCTTTCAGGCAGGTGCCTTCTGACAAATTGCACTGGTAGCCCTTTGGACAACAATGGGTATGATCTGGGCAACATACGGCCTGAGAAGGACACAAAACACAATCAGAATTCTATGCTGAAAGAGGAGGTAGGAGGCTGGGTTTTTTTTACTGAATACCCATCTGGCCAGCTGTGCCAATTCCAACTGATACATGCTTTTTGGAGTCTTGGCTGAAGGATACTTTCAAATAGCAAATACCAGGATGGAACCTGATAGTTCCTCTAAGGCCACCAGGAATCTCTCCCTACCACCACCCCAAGTATGCCCTCCCAAGCTTCCAAATTAATTAACTATGTTTTCTCACAAACATAGTTCCTCTTACCTCCTCCAGTGGACAGCATTCCCAAGAAGCAGAGGTTATCTTGCAGCAAGTATTTCCATCTGGGCAGGCAAATTTTGAATCACATTGTATATCGTGAGCTGTAAGATGAGAAGAACTTATGTTCAAAGAACACAAAGCGTTCTCCTTTCTTAAGCAACCAATAGACCTGCTTTCCCCAATTTGGCACCTTCCAGATTGGCTACATTATAACTTCCAAAATTATCAACCAAGATGCTGGCTTTGGGTTCTGTGAATGACAGCTCAACAATTCCTCCACAAAATCCAGAATATATGCATATGGAAAGGAGAAGGAATGTCACCAACAATTAAGGTTGCTCCTGGAACCTAAGGAGGAAACTACCCTAAGTGCTCAATTTGGGAAAAGAAAATGTGAGGTGAAGTCCTAATACCGTCATATACAAGTGCACTCATAATCAGTTAGGCATGTAAAGTGTATCTAAATTTGGCAATAAGCAAATATTTACATGTTTGTAGCAATGAGTTTCTCAACTGATTTCTACAGAATGTGAAATAAAGTACTATAAAGTGTCTCTAATGTGCTTAATCTGTTTTCTTTAATGCCAATGCAAAAATTACTTCTCCTTCTGCTAGGAAGTGTAGAACAGAAACAAGAAATTGGGCAAGTCACAGGCATCCTAGTCTCTTGCACATTAAGTCTTAGTGAACAATGCTTCTGGTTTCCTGTATTTCTATAGACACTACTCAGAACAGGAAACTTTTGCAATCTTTAAAGGTATAAACTTCCTTTGGAAGAAAGCATAATATATTTTCTCAAAAAACTAGATTCTGCCCCTCCTGCCATATTTTCTAAATCTGTGGAGAAAGAATCATGCCCCCCAAACCCCGATTCCTGAATTATATCCACCAGCTATCTAGTTCAGCATTTCCCTCACCGGCAGCTTCCCAAATGGGCCACAAGGGCAGGGTCAGTCCGGCCATATGAGGAAATGAAGCAGCTACTTTGAGAACTGAACTGGCAAAAATCCCTACTACCATGTTTTTCCGAAAGTAAGGCATACCCCGAAAGTAAGCCCTAGCTTGTTTTTTGGGGGTGGGCCTAATATAAGCTCCACCCCCAAAATAAACCCTAGTTTCGGGGTGAGGCACACACCTGAAAATCAAGCTATGGCAGGGGTAGGGGGTGGAGCTGCCCCATGCACCCCGCACCTACTTACCTTGTGGCCAGGCCTCTTATTGCCGGCCCACTTCTTCTGTGGCGTCTTCTGCAGCCAGGCCTGCATTTCTCAAGTCACGGGCCTCTCCGGAAGGCCACTGCAGCTGAGAACTGAGCTATGGATTCAATCCATAGCTCGGTACTCGGTTGCAGAGGCCTTCCAGAAAGGCCTGACTGCAAAATGCAGGCCGGAATGCAGCTGCAGAATGAAGCTGCTCCTTCGACTGCAGAAGTGGACTGGCTTGATGGGGCTGTCAGAACGGGAGGTGAATATAAAAAACATCCCCCCAAAATAAGACCTGGTGCCTCTTTTGGAGGCAAAAAATGTATATAAGACCCGGTCTTATTTTCTGGGAAACACACGTAACTACCCAATCAGCAATTATCTAAAATAGCAATTAGTCCAACATCCAAAACATGGGAAATATTTTTATTTTAAGCCAAAAGAATAAATAAATTCTAAACTTCTTTCTTTTCAAAGTCTTAGGCTACCTTTCTCCTTGTTCCAAAAAGCTGATGCCTTTTCCTCCCAAGAGGTTTGCATTCAATCTACTTTTAAAAGTTGGCTCTTCGCTATCAGTCCTCTCCAACCACATGAAGCTTCTTCTGGCACCCTTGTTTTACATATGACACTTCCTATCAGCCAGTGACCTATCATAGTATTTAATCATCTCACCTGTCTGGAGACCTGCAGTGAGGTGGGTGATGGGCCATGACCCCTCAGGTGTCATGGTGCATATGGAATGCTTCAGGTCACACTGAGTGCCCTGTGGACAACAGTGAAGGTGGTCACTGCAGCACACAGCCTAGTGAGAAAAGGAAAAGCTGAGAGCAATAAGTAAACCTACCAAGTTTTTGTATGTATTATTGTATTATTTTCCTATAAGAACAAGGGGTAGGGTGAAGAAGACTACAAAACACTTGAAAAATATTGGCAATTTAAAATTACCCCTAATTTTAATTGCTTGGGTTCTAACGCCTGAAAATATTGCAAACCTTTGAAGGAAATAATTTGAAACAATCAAAATACAGTAAACATAAAATGCAATATGCAAAGAAGATAGAACCAAGTACGAAAAAAAGATAAAAGCAAAAGAGAAACCAGATCACCAACCAGAAGTAATTCTAATGGAGCATCACAACATATACTGATAGCCATGAAAACAAGTAATTCATGGCACACCACAGTAATTCATTTAAGATACCAGCAAAAGATGTGGAAAAATAAACAAGGCAGAAAACCTTTAATGAATTTATGTTACCAAATATTCCTTGGACAAAGGACCACCTTTTCTTTTTAAAAGGCCCTCTGATCAATTTCATACCTTCCCAAATCCCAATACCAAGGAAAGTCTCTGGAAGGTAAGGCACCAAGCAAAATTGCTTAGCAGATGCCATCCCAGTTTTCTCTAGGAAAGCCCAGTGATGATGTTGGGTGTGGATGGAATCCTCCAATATCTCTCACTCCCACCATGAGCAGGGACAGATGCCCTGATTGAACAATGCAGGCACTCCTAGCCATTTGCACCTTTGGCCAAAATCTATTATATGACATTCAGAACTGCAGCCTGGCATGGCTGTGTGTCACCAAACAGGATGTCACGAGATAGCAATGTGATGAAAGCCCTGACCCTTTTTGTAAGCACATAAAAAAGGGATTGGAGTTGCAGTTATAACAGTGGTGGCGAACCTTTTAGAGACCAAGTGCCCAAACTGCAACCCAAAACCCACTTATGTATCGCCAGATGCTGGGTGGGTGTGGCTACAGTGGTCATGGCAGACCACTTTTCCGAGGGGGGGGTAGGAGTAGGAAGGGGCTGTGCTCGGATCAGGGACTCCGCTGCCCGCCTCCGCTCTTCTGCTGCAGATGTTGTGGCTCCGCTTGCCTGGAAGGGCGGGGGTGCGCTAACGCATGGGGACGCACATGAGGCTGCTGTCTCACTTTCCGTGCCGTGCCGAGACTGGGCTGGACTGGGCGTGGAGCCTTCTCATGGCTTCTTCCCCTGCGGACATTGGGTGCTGCCCTGGGACGACACCTACTGCTCGTCCCAGGGCAGCTGACGCCATCCCGCACTCTCTAGCCGGTCGCTGCCAGCCGGGCGCACCGGGATGCCTCCCTTCGGATTCCCTCAACCTCTCTCCCCCTCCAGGGTGGGGCGGGTCAGATTCCCTCCGTGGACAGCCCTGTGCCCATCCCTGGCCAGCCCTTCTCCATCCTCCTGCGGGCGGACCATGCCACTGCTGCCGTTTCCCCCCCGCCCCCCGCATGGATTGCCCTGCCGCTGCTGCCTGGTGAGCGCCAAAACTCACTTGCAAGTCCAGGGCACTGGAATTTCCCAGTGTAGCCGTGCCAAGCCATGCCACCAGGCTTCCCAGTGGCCAGCAAAAGGGAGATCGTGGCAAGAGCGATATTTTTCCCCATTCCCTCCCTGGCCCTTGAGCTCATATCGACACCTCTTTCCCTGCGCTGCTTCTGGCTTCTCACTCTCCCCGCCCAGTTCTTGTAGCTGCTCCGACTCCTGGTGCAGAAAAAGAAAGCGAAAGCGCTGGCACACATGGAGAGGGGGAGCAGCATCCCTCTGAGGCGATGGCGCGCGTGCCCACAGGGACGGCTGTGCGTGCCACCTAGGTTCACTACCACGGCACTATAATTTAATATATATCATCTTGCATTTTTAACCCCACCCCAGCACTGCAAATGTCAACAGATACACATAGGAAATTCCTTCTAAAACTAGACATCGGGTTGCTAGTTGGGTAATCCTACCCTGTACTTACATTTTGTAAAGGGCAACAACCATATTGGCCAGTTGGAAGCAGGCAGCAAGTGGCAGCATCTGGACAGGAAGAGTGATTACCAGGACAGATGTTTTTTTGAGTCAGATCTGCAAGGTGAGCAAAGATTACCTTCTCAAGAGGTGAAATAAAAGGTCTCTGTGGGAAAGATGGGCAGTGGAATGGATTGCTATCACTTTTGGCGAGCATAGGATGCTGAAGAGCAAGCATCACCCAGCCTACCTAATCTAGCAATTATAATGGATTAAAGCAGGGGTCCCCAACCCTGGGCCACAGGCCGGTACTGGTACATGGTGTGTTAGGAACCAGCCATAGAAACGGTGGGAGAGGAGTGAAGCTTCATGTGTCCATGTGCAGGATCTAGGTTGCATGTGAAACCATCCCTCTCCACCTAGCAGTCTGTGGAAGACAATTTTTCTTCTGAAACCAATTCCTGGTGCCAGAAAGGTTGGGGACCACTGGATTAAAGTATAGATCTCACCATGAATAATAGAAAAGCTACAATAAACCCAGTTCTATTTCTTTACTCCATACTTGACGCCAGGGTCCGTTTCTTTGCTGGAAACTTCTTTGAAAGAGGCTGTTCCCCAAAAGTTTCACGGCATTGTGCCTCAACTAGATCACAAGTTGTGCCATGGGGACAGCAGTGTATCTTGTCTGCACAGCAGGATGCCTGGGGAAAAGAAGGGGATGAGTGCACCATCATTATCTTTTCCCATAGTGCTCAATGAACAGCTTTGTACCAACACACTACTTAAAAATTGTATTAATCAAACAGCACATTGGAATATTAACGCAAAACCCAAATATTTACTGCATATGGGATGCAACATTGAATATGAAGAGTACTTGTTTGCTTTAGTGATTTCACACTGCAACTTGCTTTGTGATTGTTTTTTTCATAGTCTAAGCAAATATGAGCTTATAGGCCAACAACAGATTCATTAAATGAAATTATTTTTTTAAAAAATCTGGACTTTTCTAAGAAGCAAAATAAAGCATGTAGTGTGACAGGTTAGGTATAGAAGTCACTTTCCTGGAAAAAACCAGATAGTGTTACATACCATTTTATTTAATTTTCGGTGTTGTTTTACAGATGTCTCTACCTGGTAATATAATGGGAAGGCTGGTAGAAATCTTACTTCATATTTTTTTAAAAAAATACATCTAGGCTCAGCAGTTGCCCAGTTATATGAAAATATTTCCTTTGGTTGGACTCTGACACAAACTGCTCAGAACCCTGGGTAAGCAGAAACTGTGATGCAAGAATGTGATTCAGTGCTTTCTCTGCTTATTAAAACACCAAATGAACCGTGCAACTGAGAATTTTTTTAAAATATTGGTGACATTTGAGCAAACTGAGGAACCTAACTGTTGGCCAACACTTTCTTTTGTTTTAGGAAAGTCAGTGCAGCGTGGCAAGTTTTGAAGGACCATGGATCTTGGGAAGTGGGGGGGGGGAGGCCAGCCAGTAAATCAATGGTAGGAGGAGACTGGAATGTTTTGTTTTGGGGCACATGCTTGCCAGGAGGAACAATAAAAATGGGACTGGAATTCCTCTGAGAGGAACACCTACGATTCTCCCTATCCCCAATCCTAGGAAAGCACCAAAAATTCATGTTACCAGAATTTGGTCACTGATTATCTGTCATATTCAGCCTTGTCGGTTTGTAGGCCAAAAGACACAAATGCAACAGAATATTCCACTGCAGTTTAGCTTTCACAAGATTCTAGTAAATGTAATCTTGGGTGACAAAAGAGTGATGCAAGTCATTTGGAGATGCTTGCTCCACAAATATTTGGCCCAAAAAGTTTCTGACCACAAAGAGTCTCTGGGCTGATGAAAAGGAGAGTGAAATTAAGTGACTTCTTCATTTTTTAAAAAAAATCAAAGAGCCAGATTTTACCTCTGTCTGCATGAAAATTCCTTCACTTGCCCATATCTAAGTTCCCGTACCTCTGGCATTGGGCAACATCCCCAAGATTCATCAGCCATCAAGCAACAAGTGCAGCCATCTGGGCATTCCCATTCGCTATCTGGGCACAGAACAGCCCTGACTATGACAGCAGAGGTTGAATCTGGAATGCAAAATAAGTAAAACTTAGAAGGCCTGGAAATTTAAAGTCTCTCTCTCTCTCTTCTGCATAAAACAGGCACTTGATTTGTCTATACCACGAAGTTCCTCTGGCAAGATGAGATTCTCTTTTCAAATCAAAACCACCTTAAAATAAACTTCCTGGCAGTATAAACACACAAAGAGCACTATACTGAGTGAACTAGGCCTTATATCTAACTTAACTTATATTAAAATTAAATCTACTTAATGGGATTATGCTGCAAACATCAGTTTAATCATTCATCCATTGATCAGATTTATTATTACAACTGGCAACAACTCTGGAGATCACATCTCTAAGGCTTTGGGTGGTTGCAATATGAGTTAGGAGTCTCAGATTGTGCATTTCAGTCCCAACTGCTAAAATAGCTTGTTCTAAATCCTTTTGTTAAAAAAAAAGCAAATTTAGCCTTTTTTATTTGCTTACCCTGGGGAAACAAATATATCCCTCTAAAGAAGCATTGAATTGAGTTCCTTGAATTAACTGGGAGATATTATTTTTCTTACTGAAGTTTTTTTTTACTATTCCTATGACTCCAATTTGTCCCACCTTGTCTCCAAATACCTTCATTTTCTATGCAGACTCTTCCATCAGTGCTGCAGTGGGTGCCAAGGGGACAGCAATGGTGGCCATCAGCACAAGAAATGGCCTGGAGGTGAGATAAAAGAGGGGCAAAGGCCCTAAAGTTTTTCAGAACAGCAAATACAGAAAATCTCAGTGGAAACTGGAGTGTTATAAGCCCTGAAGGTTAATTTCTCAAACAGATATGCCAATTACCAACCATGACTGTGAACTAGCTGGAGAGATACGAAGGACAATTTAGCTTGCTGTAGTAAGGATAGAGAAGTAAATGAAGCCACTGTATATGTGCTCAAGTTTTTTTCCTTTACCTTCAGTAAAGTATAACTTTTTGCTAAGATTGCAAGTAATATGCCTTCAGATTCTAGAACTACAGCCCTCTTTCTCTTCCTGTTGGTTTTCTTAGTCAACACATTTCTTTCTCTCCATACTCTCCATTCCAAGTGTGTTGGAACTATAATTTCCAGAATTTCAACTAAAAGTAGTAGTAATTGAATGATATGTGAGGAACCCAGGATCCTCAGCCTTGTATTAGAATATTTATCTTAGTTTCTCTGACCTACTAAATCTCCAGATGCTAGGGACTTCAAATCCAGCATTCCCAGATAGCTTGATCACTGGATACATCGACTGTAAAGAATAGTAATTATAATCTCCTACACTGGAAGGCCATTGGAAGTTAAAAGCTGTTCCTTTGATCTGTTACATTTCAGATCAGTATAGAGCAAAGTAGTTATGGCACGCAGATAAGAACAACTTAGGAGGTATGGGGCAAATCAGTTAAACTTGCTCTATTAAGAAAGGTATTTTGATCATTGCTAGTCCTTATCTCATTTTGAGGTCTGAAGTTCACCTCCTTCCAAGGACAGCAGGCAAAGGTGGAATTCAGGCTGAGCTGGCAGGAGTGTGTCACTGGACATGTGCTAGCATCAGGACACACAACACCAGATACCTCATTCCTGCTCTCTGGGGGCAACATGCGGAGGGATGCTCCTGTGAACTGTAAATAAAAAAGATGAGGCAACAACGTAAGTAATTTTGTTTCCCAAAATATTATGCAAATTGCAAGGTCTGATACAGTATATTCTTTCAGGAATTGTCAACAACTCCAAAGAAATGTCTATAGAGATTATCAGTCATCCAGGTCAAAGGTCCTTTTTCAAGAGGCAATTGCCCTCTCAGCTGAGGGGGAAGGATACAACATCATCTATCTCTAGTCTACAACACTGTCCTTTCAGCAGTTCCAAGAAGGCTCCACACCCATTTGCACCACTCAGGTGATCTTGAGGACAGAGATAAACTTTCAAGTGACCTCAAGAATGCAAATGACCAGCTATCTGCAAGGAGTATAAATCCTTTCATTCCTCACATCCAATCAGAGATAAAGAAGCTTCCTGGATGAGAAGTGAAACATCTTCAAAGAACAAGAAAGTCCAGTTGCCTCTTGAAAAAGCACCTTTGGAATTCATAAAAAAAATAGAATAACAGTTGTAAGGGACCTTATAGGTCATTTAGTCCAACCCCCCACCCAAGCAGGAGACTACACCATTTCTGACAGATGGCAGTCCAGTCTCTTCTTGAAAGCTTCTAGTGATGGAACTCCTACAACTTCTGAAGGCAAGCTGTTTCATTGGTTGATTGTTCTCACTGTCAGAAAATTTCTCCTTAGTTCTAGGTTGAATCTCTCCTTAATCAGTTTCCATCTGTTATTCCATGTCTGGCCTTCAGGTGCTTTGGAAAATAGGTTGACCTCTCTGTGACAGCCCTTCAAATATTGGAACACTCCTATCATGTCTCCCCTGGTCCTTCTCTTCACTAGATTAGCCATGTCCAGTTCCTCTAACTGTTCTTCATATATTTTAGCCTCCAGTCCCCTAGTGATTTTTATTGCTCTTCTCTGCACTCTTTCTGAATTCTGAATTCCAGAGAAGCTGGATGCCCTGTAACAAAGCTGGTTACTAAAACAGCAATATTCAATCTTTTTTTATGAAGTCCTTGATATTCTCAGAAAGCATATATCCCCCTGACCTACATATATTCTTTTCTATTGGCATTTTTTTCTTTTTGTTATTTTATTCATGTAATCAACACAAGCTTTGCTGATGAAAATGCTTCCATCTGCCCCTTCCTTAGAAGAGTAACATAACAACTCCTACCTGAGGCTGATGGCAACAGATATACTTATTTCCTTCAGGGAGCTTGCAACATGTTGACGATCCTTCACATTTCTGCCCATCAGGGCATTGCAAAGAAGAGGCTGTCCTGCTCAGTACCAGGAAGACTAGGAAGTGCACCCACATTCTAGCCATGAACCTAGACAGAAGAATAAAGAGGAGAAGGCACTTCAGAGCCCTGCACTGCTGTGAAATACTCAGCCCTCCTCATAATTTAAGAGCTGCTGATAACCTTTTATAGTGCAGAATTCTAACTTATTAGCTATTTAGTGACTCAGCAAGGAAGGTCAGCTAAAAGAACCTCATGTGACAGTCATTAAAAGCAGGAGGGAAAGATCATGTGGATGAACTTTTGTTGCAAAGCCTAGGAAAACCGGATAGCAGGAGATATTTAGGGTGTATCAACAGTAAGGACAATGTTTTATTAGGTTTTTCTCTTTCAGAAAATATTTCAGCATTATATTTATGTAATGTTTATGGGTCAAACAAATAAGCATTTAGAAGAAAATAGCAATTCATTTGAACATTTAATGTAATTTATAAGGGCTTAATTTTTAATACTATGTAACATTTTGCATTCATTCCAAAATAGTGGTATTCTTGTGCATACACATACCCACACACATGCCTACGTGCACTCTTGCCGTCTATCTCCCAACTATATCTCCCTAAAAACGAATACCCCATGAAAGTACATAACTGATTCAATACCCTGCTAGAAGAAACCATACCCAGCCTTGTCCAATCGTATGTTCCCTTCATGTAAGAGATCAAAATTCTAAGTATCCCCTTCCAGCGCAAGAGATGGGAGTTGTAATCCATAGATTACCACTAAAGATGTGAGATTGGAGAAAATTGAGACATCCCAATCCCACCACTGGCTTTCCCTACAAAGCCTTACATATGTATTCTAGGATCCTGCTGATTGGAAGAGTACCCAAGCCCTAGTAGTTAATATTCTGAAATTATTATTACATCCAGAACTTCTTGTAATTTATGCAGAGGTTAAGAAATTAAAATGCTTCATGGTGCCATTTATGCCTAGAATTTTAAATGAATAGATAATAATGTTTCTCTTAGGAAACAAATCATATCAACTGACATCATAGCTGCCTAAGTTTAATACTTGAATGGCATCCCACTTCTGACATCCCAGAGTAGGCTGTATCCAAGACCACAAAGTCAGTTTTTCTCTGATTTAACTGAAGCTAAGTTGTTAATAAAAAGTTCTTGATTATGACAGGAGAAAAAATTAAAATAATTATTACAATTATAATTTATAATTATAATTATAATTGTATAAAATTACTTTCTTTACAAGTTATACATCTAAGCATTTTCAGTTGATGCAAAAGCCACTTAGAAAGGGGCCAACTAAACCTCTGCTACAGAAGCTCACAAATTTTAGCTATTTAGTCATTTGCAAAAATATCCAGGTTCATACAGTATATACACCAGATCTCATTGTACACTGATCTGGAAAAAAATGATCCAATCCAATACAACTTGTCTTTATCATTAATTAAGCAAGTCCAGTTGTACTACTCACATATTTATTATATGCTTCATAATATATTACAGCTTATGAATTGCCCCACAGAATAGTAAGCAGCTACATAATATTATCAGAATGACACAGGAAACTGAAACAAGGAGAATGCCTGTGCATGCACAGAGTGACAATTCAGAAACATCTGCTTGTGACAATGCTGAAACTGATTACCAGTTCCTTCTTTTTGTTCCCATATTCTCTTGCACCATTTGACAGTCGTGAATGAATTCCAAGAACATTAGTTAAAATGCATGTGCATGTAATTATCCCAGATCTTATGTTCACAACACTAGATCTTATGTTCACAACACTAAAGACTTGTTCCCACAAACTCTGGTCCCAAAGCCCATGGTGCTCCAGAGCAACTAGCATTTCAATTATTTGACCAAAAAATAAATTGATCGCAAGTAGAAGGTTGAAAACTGATAAAAGCATGTACTCCCCACTCTCATACAGATGGTTTAGAATCAGAGGTGTCAAACTGCCGGCCCACAGGCTGGTTGCATTACACGGAGGCCACGGCACCCCAAGCTCTGGCCATGTGAAAAAAATTGCAATATGTCACGACACATCACATGACATAGTGAGTTTGATACCCGTGCTTTAGATGCTTACACACAGTTCCTCAAATTTTTGTCTGTTCCAACAAGAAAAAAACTTCCCTTTTTTCACTGCTCCAACCTCAGAAGTGCAGTTGTTCAGTAGTAAGTCCTTTTGTCTCCGAGGGAATTGAAGAGGCGAAGAGAAGAAGCTGAGTTTGTCAAATGAAATGTAACAGCTTGTGAACCCATGCAGGCCTCAATTTTTTATATATAAACAGCTTGTGGTTTACAAATAAAAGGTCTTGGATCTTGTACTGAAAAACAATTACTGCAAGAAGGGAAGTTACTTAACAGCACCTTGCATAAGATTTAAACAAGGCTGGGAAAAGTGAGGAAGGTCACTCCAGGAAACATGATTAGGTGAAATAAATCTAGTTTATTATAAGGCTATATTAACTGAAAACATGCAAGTTTAACTGCTTGATCCATTAGGGTGGTCCTTCTGAAGTTTCTTTCTCTGACCACTAAACCACTGGGGTCTCCTGTCTCTCTTGTCTGATTTTTTTCCTAGGCAACATCTCTTCTTCCCCAAAGTCATCCACACATTCCATTAGATTCACTGAAAATCAGATGAACTTGAGCAATGAGTTTCCAGCCATATGGCATTGAAACATAGGTTTGATTACCTGAAGTACTGAAGCTTACTTCTGCAAGATAGGTTCAGCGAGAAAACAAGGCAGAAATTCATTTGAAAATCCAGGAACTCCATTTATTGTTCTAGAATTCCTGGGAGCTGTTGAAGAGTGCTAGTTTCCCCTCTTACGAAATGCCTTGCAGGGTTTTTTGTATGTGTCGGTTTCTTCATCACCTCTGCTCTAACTCTTTCCACCATGTTTTTGTGAATGGAGAAGTCAGGGAGACAGCAAGCTGTCTGTTCATCAAGGCTCAGCAATATCAATATCAGAAGGACATGTCAGATATTTACTTAGAGAAAACTGTAAATGTTTCATGTAGCAACTTGCAAGTAGAGCTGTATATTAAAGAACCACAATATTTCCAAATGCATGGAGATGGAAAAGGGGCTGTCAAAATATTTTTCTCTTTTTTATCATGCAAGAAAATGGCATCATCCAATGAAGTTAAAGAATCAGAAATGTAAGACTGAGTAAAGAACATACTTCTTCACACAAAATTGTAACTAAACCAGGGGTTCCCAACCTTTTCTATACCCACCTCTAGAACGCTTCTGATATATTCTCGCACCCCTTACAAAAGTTTGAGATAATGGCAACGAATTATGCATATACACTATAATTTTTAAAACCCAGGTTTTCGTACCCCCTGTTGGGAACCCCTGAACTAAACTATGGAATCCAATATCAACATATATAATGCTGTAAGTCTGAATTTGTCAGGAGGGGCCTCACCACCGCCTTAAAGGAGGCGGTGGTGAGGCCCCTCCTGAAGAAGCCTTCCCTGGATCCAGATGTATTGGCTAACTATCGCCCGGTCTCCAACCTTCGCTTTGTGGCGAAGGTTGTTGAGAGTGTGGTTGCACGGCAATTCCCTCGGCACCTGGAGGAAACAGATTATCTGGACCCCCTCCAGTCGGGCTTCAGGCCGGGGTACAG